TCAACACGATTATGAGCAACCAGCTTTCCCATCAACAAATCATAAGTCTTTAACCCCGGTTTGTGACCATCCTCTTTCATCTTTGCAAAGACAGTCATAGCATGATCAGTTCTCTCAATCCCACATAATATTTTCAAAAATTCATAATAGGCCTTCTTATCAAGTGCATCCCCAAAACCTGCAGATTTCATTCTATCAATCATTTCGTCACCCTCTCCAATCCTTGCAGCCTGGTATAAGCTCTTAATAAGTGTCAAAAAAGTCGTCTCGTCTGGAGAACAACCCCATTCCCCCATCCTATAAAACAGATTCATAGCATCCTCTGTTTTCCTGATCTTACACAAGTTAGTGATCAACACATTAAAGGTTTCCACATCTCTAGGAACACCGTTCTCTTCCATTTCCACCAACACATTCTCTGCCTCGGATTGAAGCCGAAATGGATCCTTTTTCCTACAAAGCTTACAAACACAATCAAGAATTGCATTATATGCTGCAGTACCAATTTCAAACCCTCCTCTACACATCTCCCCAGCTAACCTCTGCGCCTCATCAAGTTTCCCATCAACACACCAACCCCTTATCAACATATCACATACATATTCATCAGGGAAAAATTCATTAGCTAAATTCTTCACCATTTTCTCAGCATAACTAGCAAAACCATGCTCACACAACCTAGAAACAACCAACTTCAAAGAATTCAAATCCCTAACTAACCCATAATCTTTCTCCATATTTTCAAAGAATGCCACTGCTTGAGTGGCCCTCCCGGCCCGTACAAGCCTATCAACCATGGACTCAAACGTCTTAAAACCGGTTACCCCTCGGCCATCAGTAAGCACATCATTTGCAGCTTTAAAATCCTTTCTCCGTCCAAAATAATCCACAAACAAAGCTAGAACTTCATCATCAAGATTGAAACTTTCTTTGGATTTAACCCATTTGAAAAAACCTAAAACAGTTCTGCCAGCATCTGGGGAAAGATTGAGTGTGGTAAGGATCAGGGAAGGCGTTAAAGTTATGTGGGAGAAAGAAAGATCGAGTCTTTCTGGAATGGAGAGAGATTCCGCGTCCAGTTCTTTGACAAGCTCAGACGATAAAGACTGAGCAATTGTTTCTTCTTGATCCTTTACAGGATCTTCAGATTGGGATGAAAAGGGTTTAAAACTGGTGCAATATAGTGAAAACGAAAATGGGTCATGGGGCAGTGGTGAAGTGAAAAGGTGGGTTTTGGAAAGGGAGAATTGGGAACAGGGAAGGTGGTGGGATTGATTAGTCGCCGACGAAGAAATACAGCGGCGGAGCAGTGTTCGAAGGTGGAGACGTGTTAATGGGGACGTGAGTCTACGCATTTTCACTGTCTGTACTGTGTGAGAAAGGGAGGCGGCTATGGCGGATTGTTAAACCCTCTCTGCTACTGCTACTGCTACAGCTCTGAGCTAAGCTGGTGTGGTTTTGGGCTTTCTCTTTGGGTTTTGGCAACTTTTGGGCCTTTTGGCCACCAGTGTGGAAAAGTCATTACATTTAGCCGTTCCACAAAAAATATTCATATTCCCGAACCAAATATATACATGAAGAATTCACTTAAATAGCCGTCCACCCAATCACTTAAATTAAAAATAGTCAGCAAAAGTATAATATATATAATTTATATACTATATGTGTATAATTTTATGTAATCAATATATAATTTATGTATATAGCTAGAAAAAGTAAATAATGAATATGACCGGTTATTTATGTAAAGATCTCAATATACATATATACTTATATTGACTAGATTTAGTGTACGTGCGTTGCACGTGTAATTTAACTTATTTGTCAAACATTACAAAATTAGTATCTAAAAATTATAAAGTTTTTATTGCATACATATCAAGAATTTTTTTGAGTTATACAATAGATATTAAATTATCTAAAAAGCTTACATCGTCACATTCTCTGGGAGTTGAGCGAAGTAGTATTTATTTGACTAATAATGGCTTCTATATTTTATATTTATGACATGATGAACAATCTGTGACATATCTCTCTTCTCTTCTATGATTTGATAGTCTATTCTTTTTTTGGTTTCAACAAATGCTTCCAACTTTAAATAAGATCATTTAAAGGTTGAATTTTTATAATGCAGGAACCAAACTAAAGCAAGAAAATTTTAGAAAAATTTTACTTCCTCACCAATAAAGTTAAAAATTGTATAGGAGACTCTCGTTTTGCATTCAGTTTATTTTCTTAAGAATCTTCTTTTGACTTAATTAACGAATACCTACAGAATTAACAAATCCTCTCAATAATTAAGTAGTAACTTTTTTATAATACTGTATCATACGTAAAATACATGTATGAATTTGTAGGATAATTTCACTGAATCAGATCCCTATGTCCGCACAACATAAAATAAACTCTTACAAACTATGCTTATGTTATAATAATAATAATAATAATAATAATAATAATAATAATAATAATAATAATAATAATAATAATAATAAAGGTAAAAAATTAAATAGGTGTGAACTCTAGCTCGTTCTCCCATTCTCACAGATATATAAAAAAAAAATTACCTAAAAGCATCAAAAGCTTTAAATCAATAATACAGTTTTTTTCATATATTAATCAATAAATGTTATTTCAACATAAAATTTATAAAATTATTTTTGTTCTAGAATGCAAGGGGTATCAACTTTAAAATTCAAAATTTTCTTAAAAGACGTTCACCAAGATAACAAGATGAAAAATTATTGTCTCAAAGCAAAAAATAATCATGTACTCAATGACAGAAAATTTCTCTCTTTATATCTTGTAATGTCAAATTCTTAGCAATATAAGTATGAAGAATTATAAAAACAAATTCTCAAATAAATCTTATATTCATAAATTGTGTATTTACAATGAATCTCTATCGAACTCATCATGTGTACTGCATGACAAAGTAAAATAATGTATAGCTCCTTGTCTTGTGTTTAAAGAATCATACAAATACCATATTTATCTAATAAATAATTGTCCATATAAAAGTATACAAAAGAAAATTGGTAGTACCAGATTTGTTTGGGTGATTTTGTTTTTGGGAGATGTGAAACCACCTGATTAGGTAGTGTTTCTGGAAATAATATTTTGGAGTTCCTTAGGCTTTAAACTTTTTTTTTATTTGTTTATATTGGTTTTAAAGTTAAAATTATTTATTTGAGAATAGAAGTGGAAAATTTATTATGATCTCATACTCCTAAATATTAGTAGTTCATTTATAAAAAACAATTAGAGCATTTAATATTGTTACACAAGTAGATACATATTCCAAAGTAGGAAGAATGTAATAACCAACTATTAGGTAATTTTAAAGTCTTAAAAATTATAGAAATAATTAAATTACAATTTTATCCAACATAAAATTTATTTTAAGGGTAAAACAAATCGAACGACATTTCGTTAAGGAGTTTCGTGCTACGCACGTTGCGCGTGTACCCCATTTTAATAAGAAATTTTTTTTTAATATATCATATAATTTTAATGTATGCATAATTTATTGTAACGACTCGACTTGTCGTTTTAAGAATTTACGTTCCGTTCGGTGGCTTAAGGTCTCGAGCAGCTTTGAAATGTGTATTATGACTTGTGAGGGTGGTCAAGTTTGGTTTTCGGATGATTCAGGATTTAATTGAAAGAACAATTCTTGTTTTGGAAGTTTAAGTTGAAATAATTGACCAGATAGTGAATTATGTGTAAACGACCCCGAAATGGAGTTTTGATGAGTCCAAAAGCTCCGTATGATAATTTTGGACTTAGGAGCGTGTCCGAAATTTTTTTGGAAGTTCGTAGTGAAATTTTGCTTGAAATGGCGAAAGTTGAATTTTTGGGAAGTTTGACCGGGGAGTTGACTTTTTGATATCGGAGTCGGAATCCAATTCTAAGAAATTTTTTATAGATCCGTTGTGTCATTTATTCAGACATTTGTACAAAAAGTTATGATCGATTAACTGAAATTGGTACTGCAGATTTTGGCTACAACAGTGTGCATCACCAGAAATTTCTGCTGCACAGGGCTGACTTTGGGAGCTTATATCTCGCAATCTGTCACGACCCGGAATTTTTACCGTCGGGACCGTGATGGCACCTAACATTTCATTTGCTAGGCAAGCCAACGCTAGAGAATTATTAAACCAAATCCTTATTTCCATTCAGTAAATAACAATAATTAGCTAAGATGAAATATAATAAGTGCGGAATAATATAAAAACTGTATTAATTACTACCACCCGGATCTGGAGTCACAATTTATGAGCATTCTAGATTTTACTACAAGTAATAGTTTGAGAGAAATACAACTGTTTGAATGAAAGAAACAGTAAAACAGAAAAGATAGACGGAGACTTCAAGGTCTGTGAACGCCGACAGATCTACCTTGAGTCTTCGAATAGCGGGTCCAATAGCTAAAATCTCGATCAATCCGAGCCGGTACCAAAATCTGCACAGAAAGTGCAGAGTACAGTATCAGTACAACCGACCCCATGTACTGGTAAGTGTCGAGCCTAACCTCGACGAAGTAGTGACGAGGCTAAGGCAATGCACCTACAAATCAACCTGTATAATTTAACAGTGTATATACAAATAACAGTAATGAAGAGCTAGACAAGAATTATCGGGAGGGAAAAACATGTTGGGGGAAAATACGAAGTAAAGGGATACAACAGAATGAGAACTGAAACAACCAATATAATATGAATCAAAAGGAGCACGAATACAGCAAAGGAAAAAAAATGCACGGCATCACCATTCGTGCTTTTACTCTCAATCTCACCATAAAATCAATAAAAATGGCACGGCATCACCCTTCGT